GCTTCTTCGGCCGGCTGCTGAACAGGCTCGGCGCGGCCCTGCGCTTCTTCGCGCCGCCTTGGGTGTCCGGCGCGACAGAAGAGCTCGCGCCGGGCTGGCCGGCTCCTGGCTGGTGGCGTGGGGCGACCTCCTCCGCGTCATCGTCAGGCCAGTCCTCGAAACTGGCCCCGAGCCTCGGGCCACCCACTTCGCCGCTTCCTCCCTCGGCGTCGTCCTCCAAGGCCACCGCCCTCAAGTCGGGGTCGTCGACGTTGCTCTTCGCCCGGTCAGGGAGGAATTCGCGGGCCGGCCCCATGGTGCCGGCTGTCGGATGGAGGAGGGGGTTCTGACCAAAGTCGATTGGTCAGATTGGACAAGACGGACTCGGCGGCAAAGGAGTCAAAGAAAAAGGAAAAGAAACAACTCACCATGGGCGGAGAGTTGGCGCATGAATACGGCTCCTTGCCGAACTGCCACTCTCCCGTGAGCTCGCAATTCGCAAGGTAGTTCACCATGTGGGCTACCTCCGCGTGAGGCATCTCCTTGGTACACAGATGACTCGGGTCCCGATGCCCGCTCATCTGGCAAATCATGTGGGGGCGACTTTGGAGTGGGCGCACTCGGCGCGCCACGAAGGCGGCCAGCAAATCCGGCCTGGTCAGGCCCTCCGACTGTGTCAACACTCAGAGTCGTGCGATGGCGCCGGCTCCTGCGGTCGTCAGCATCCTGGCCCGATACGACCAGTTGGGCTGCCTCCTAGCCGGCGGGCCGGTCATGTAGGCCGGCAGATTGACCCAGTCGCCCTCCGCGAAGACACTCTTCACGTAGAAGTACGACCGCTGCCACATCTTCACCGACTTTATCAGCCGGATGGGGGGGAACGTGTTGTCGGCCCCGACCTCCACACAGCGATGAACGTGCCGCACTGATCCGGCACGCATGCGGCTTGGGTGCCGAGCTTGGAGTAGAAGAACTCCCCCCAGAGCTCGATGGTGGGGAGAACGCGGAGGAAGCCTTCGCACAAGGCGACGAAGGCGGACAACAGCACCACCGTGTTGGGGGTGAGGTGGTGCGGCTAGAGACCGTAGAATTCGAGAAAGGCGCGGAAGAAGCTGCTCGCCGAAAGGCCAAGGCCGCGTAGGCAATGCGAGCGGAAGACGACCCGCTCGCCCTCCTCCGGCGCCGGTGAGATTTCCTTCTTCGGCGTGAGGCGGACCCTCACGAAGTCCTTGCCAGGCAGCCATTGTGTCATGCGGAGGAAATCTATGTGATCATCGTGGACCTCTGAACCGTCCCAGGTGCCAGAGTGCACCGCGGGGGGCGTGGCGGCGAAAGAAGAGCTCATCGGGAACTGATCACCGCGGCGCTCAGCGTAGCTTGGGGCGCGGCGGCGAGAGGAAGAAGAGAAGGAAGCAGTGAGGAGGAGGAGCGCGCGTGCTCTGCCGCTCTCCCTCCCCCCTACTTATAGACCAGTGGGTTGCGAAGCCGAGGGGGCGGGTGTGGGATTTACTACGCCCACTACCCCACGCCCCCCCGTTTGTCGCGCAAAATTATTGCGCGCAGTAACGCCGCGGGAATCTCAACCGTTCACCCCGACCGCAGCGGATCCGCTCGCGTGCTGAAGCGTGGTAGTGGTCGGCCCCGCCTGTAGGCGTGTCCCGTCGCGCGCGTGGGTGGGCAGACTGGCCCAACCGCTCGACGCCACGTGACAGGCCCGAAACGGGCGGCGGCCTGGAAGCTAGCACGCCACTTGGATCCCGCCGAGGCGTTCGAAAATTTTGGACAAGCCAGATTGGGCGAGTCCGACTCCCGCCAGTCGGCCCGGCAGAAATCGAACGAAGCTTCGCCTCAAGCACTCGGAGAAAGGAAACTGCTGAGGCTCCTCGACCAGTCGCCCGCGGCACCTCACCAGCTTGGGGGACTACTGTCGGAGTAATGGGCCACGGGTAGGCTAACCCGACGCCCATAGCCTTTCGAGACATCGGGGCTGACCACGCCCCTCAGGATGCCAAGGTAAAGAGCCGCCTTCTGGAAGCCGGCTGGAGAAATAGGCGGCTGCCCGTAGACGGCCGAGTCCAGAAGGCGAGGTCGAGACAAGCCGGCTCCTGCCAGGCGGCTTCCAGAGAAGCCGGCTCCGAGGAGTCGGCACGCGGCCCCTTCGAAGCCCGTGCCCGCATCAAAGGGGACGGGACGGGGGATGGCTACAGTGCAGCCCATCCCCTCCCCTTCCTAAGGGCTGGCGCGGCCACAGTGCGCTGTACCAACGAGGAGCCCCGCCCGACGTGGCACTGTTGCCATGCTAGCCCTGACGTCACCACGGGCAGGCGAAGTCCTGCTCCCACGACGGCCTGTCTGTATGGCCCAAGGACGACGGGCCCCACCAGTCAGCGAGAGTCCAGAAGACGGCGAAGAGCCCTACCAATCGGACCCGATGGGAGTCGGCCCTTAGGAGTCGGCCTGCTCCTCCCACGAGCCCCACGCGCCATTAACCAGACAAGACGGGGAGTGGCTACAGTAATCGCCCGCCATGACGGCGGTGCTGTAGCCATGATCCTTCGACCAAGCCTGCGTCATTAAAAGCGCGACTACAGTGATCAGCAGCCGGCAAGACCCCCAAGCGGCGGGTACGGCCTGTCGGCTCCGTACCAGACCAGTCGGCGAGGCCCCCCGATCGGCGGGCCCCAGCAGTCGGCGGGGGCCCCCGATCGGCGGGCCCCAGCAGTCGGCGGAGAAGTCGGCGGCCGAAGAGACTGACGGCTGGGCCTGCGCCCAGTCATATTACCCTTGTACCCCTGGGGGTAGGCCTATATAAAACCCCCAAAGCACCCATGCAAAGGGTTCGGACCCATTAGAACTAGACCAGAGATATAGGAAGGAGAAAGCTAGCCTTGCCTTCTCCTCCCTCCAGCATACAGCTCGAGGAGCACCCTTGTACTCGCTTTGCCTTAGTGATCATGCGGAGACCCCGTAGAGCAGGACTAGGGGTGTTATCTCCTAGGAGAGCCCCGAACCTGGGTAAAGTACGCCGGCGTTCGTGTCTACGCCTAATCCCGCTTCCGGGCATCGGTGACGTTCTACTCACTCCCACCATGATAAGCCATCCTTTGGCGTATGTCGCACCCAACCCCCGACGAGAGGTGATGGCTCGCACATTTCCAATTCATCTGTTTACTCCATTCCATACTTTATTCTGAAAAAAAATTATTTACATTTTTCATTAGACGAAGAGAGTACTAGTTGTTTTGCGTGATGGCATCCGTCTGGCGAGTTAGCAAAAATGGCGGCGCAGCTTGTATCATCCGAATTACCTCTCCGGTGGCAAGAGCGGCACATGCGTGCACCGAGGCAGGAGCCTAGCACTTGCACGAACATGTCGAACGGCCCGCCTTCGCGCACAGTCCAAAGGCCATCATCCATCATCACTCATCGCTCATCAGTAGCTCGCCTCCAAGTCACTGTAGCCAACCTCCTCTTCCCCGCGGAAAAGACGGGGCGTCAAGCCGTCAACCACCACCACACTACACCGGCTTCATCAAATTGCACCTGGGAAAGAGACGGACTGGGCCACCACCGCGGCGGCACTGCCTAGTGCTGCTGAGGATTTGATCAGGCAGGGATAACCCCATCCCCTTTCAAATCCTGCATTAAAGTGGAAGATCGAAATGACTAAAATACTGCTTGCACCGGTCCGCAACAAAGGAATCGCACCAAATTTGCTTGTTATCCTTCTCTTTTCACCTTTCTGTCCCGAGGATATCTTGTTCCAGTTCCATCTGCTTGCCAATGCTAGCTACTACTTGCTGCTTCCGGATCAGAGCGAATGTCCAGTTGGAGGCGACGCCATGATGGATGTGCTTGACTGACATATACTACGAGGAGCTACGAGGACCTCGGGCATGCGTGAGAGCTAATCAACTCTCGCTTAAAATATTACCCAGTGCCTGTGGTGCACTGCCACTGTTGTTCACGATAACTCCAACGATTAGTCCAGCACAAACTAATATAGCATTGCTTATCATGTTAGTAGTAGTGGTGGTGCATTAAGCACGGCAAACTAATATAGCATTGCGCACCATGTTAAGACGTCCGGTTGTTTCCTAGCTAATCTTCCAGCGCACTAATTGCGCCGCTCCAGAAAGATCCAAGAGTGCTCCAGCCGTGGCGCTGCCACTGGTGTTCATGATAACGCCAACAATCAATCGAACCCAACCCAAACAGCATTGCTCATGCATACACTACACGTAGTGCGATGGAGCAAGAAGCACAGCTAGCCTAGCCAGACGAAGACGGGCGTCCTGATCCTGATCCTGCATCGCACTAATTTTAGTCGCCTACTCAATCCTCCATCGCACTAATTGCGCCGCTCGAAAGAGATCCAGAGGGGACGGTTGAAGGAAGAAACGGTGAGGTGTTGCTCGGGGACGCAACCTTTTCGCAAAGCGCGGCTCCATTAGTCATTAGATACACGCACACTTACGGGAGCTGCCCCAAAAGCGCAGATTACTATACGCAAACGCGATCAGGATGGTGACAAGCAGATAGATCCTGGGACTTAAAATAAAGGCGATCAGTGCTGTTAAACTACGTACACATCGAGATGCCATTAGCCCGGGCACCACTGAGCTGCCACCGCGTACGCAGTGACGGTGCTACAATACTCTTGGCGATAGATAGTTTAATGTACAGCCTACACCGCTGTCCTTCCCTTTGGGGGCTTGAACGGAAAATTTAAGGTAGAAAAGTGGCCGGAGAGACGACGCGACCCCACGCCGGCCGGCCGGCCTGCGAAAGAACGGCTCCCGTGGTGCCATGGCACAGCTGGCCCTGCCTTTCCGGCCGGCGATGACGCACCTCGCCGGGGGCCGGGGCCAGTTAGCTAGCCACATTGGTCATTTGGCTCTGTTGTTAAACCAGGACGGGCTTTCTTGCGGTGAAGATAGCAGTAAGTGGCTTACAGGTGGGGCCTCCTTGTCATGCTTCGGTGAGTTGGCGTGCGAGCACGTTGTCTTCTGGCTCACGAGTCACACCGGCGGCGGGGCGCCTCCGTTGACAACGTCGACCGGCTTGGCGACGGCGGCGGCGGGGAGGAGGAGCGTGCGGCAGAGCGGGCAGCTGGGCTGGGAGCGGAGCCAGGCGTCGACGCACTCCGGGTGGAAGCAGTGGCCGCAGGGAGGGAGCGCCTTCACCTTGTCCCCGGCCACCAGCGCGCTGATGCAGATCGAGCACTCCACAGCCGCCGCCTGCTCCTCCTCGTCTCCACCGTCGCCCTTGTGCCGAGAAGGGGAGCGCGCCGGCGAGGAGGCGGGCGGGCTGTAGAGCGTGACGAGCAGCCCATTGATGGCGTCGGCGTCGAGGCCGGGCACGGGCGACGCCGCGGCGGACGAGGACGAGGCATCGCGGTCGGCGTCGCGGCGGGCGCGGCGGCGGCTGCACGCCCAGCGGAGGTAGAGGCAGACGGCGACGAAGGCGACGAGGAGGGCGAGCAGGCCGGCCAGCAGCGGCACCGCGCGGCCGCGCAGCGCGAAGTTGCTGTCGTCGACGTCGCCGTACCGCACCCTCTCCACCTGGTTCGTCGTCCCCGCGGCGCCCTCCTGCGCGGCCATCGGTTCTCTCCTTCTTCTCCCCGCGAACTCTGCAGGCACGCACGCACGCAAGCCTCGACGTGCACGAGCTTGGACTTCTTGGACTTATCAGCTAGTAGCAGCTAGCCCACCCTCTCACGCCATGTGCGGGGTGCGGACTTGTGGAGCTCTGGTGGTCAAAGGCAGCGCATGGGAGACCGAGCGCGCTGCCGGCCGGCCGGCTTGTGGTGCAGGCGATCGGTGGAAGGAGCGGGCGAGCGAGGAAATATCGTGGCAAGTGGCGGTGTGGCTCGGCCTGGCGAGAGAGCGATCGACCGGAGAGTGAGCGAGCTGCTGGACGGGGAGCGTGGTTTTAAAATTCAAAGTCCTCGGCCGTCCCTTTTAAGCTTGGAAAAATGGCTCCGGCCGGTGGGGCACAGGCGGAACGGAAGCTAGCCGCGAGGCCCGAGCTGATGGGCAACTGCCAACTTGGGCGTGACTGGATCGAGCCGGCACGCACGGCGGCATGCCGCACTGTGCTGTCGCCGTGGACTCGGCGATGCGATATTCTTCTTCTTAATTTGCAGGGAGGTGTAATATTCTCCGGTTCGGATCGCTGGTCACGATCCACAGGGGATGGACGACTTGTAGCAAGCGAGCTGCGCGCATGCATTCAGACCAATGGTTTTGCACTGCACCTACGGGGATCTTTGACTGGCGATTGTTTATTTTTCTTGGCGGATTTGTGGCTGGAACTTGTGACAGTTACATCGCCAAGGGTGAATTGGCCGTCGTACTCCTGCCGGCTAGACGGCTAGTGGCCATCTGCTTCGAGGGTTCGTCGGCGAGCTGCCCCCGCCCAGGTGACTCGCGAGAATCTACAAGACTACAACCTTTCCTTTGCCGCTTATCCATGCTCCTCTCTTCGTGGTCTCGACGCGCTCCTAGGGTTTCTCCACTCTCACATTGATCTTCCTTTTCTCTTGCCTGAGTTATTTTCATAAATTAAATTTGTGTAAATGCAGGAAACGTGTGTTATAACCCATGTGTGTCCGATCAAAACTTCTATCCGGACTACTGTCAAAAAGAGTTCACCTCGTGTTTCTTGACAACGGAACGAGAGTCACGGCACACGATGGTTGTCATTGTTGGATCCATCCAATGAAAGACCACATTGAGGCATTCGTCTCTGGCTCAGCGCACACAAAAAACAACACTACCTAGCAATGAAGACCAGACCATCCCCACCAATTACCCAAGCGTTTGAGTTCTCTTATACTGCGAGAGTAGGCTATCGGTTTGCGGCCGTTCGTGGGTAGTCGGTCATGTAATTCAAAATTCTTCTCAATTATTGGGATGAGGCAAAGCTTTTGCCTGACATGATCCGAATTAGCAAGAAATAGGATGCAACAGACAGTTGCAGATCGTCAGGAGAAGACGATGCCTGGGGAAATTCTCCTCCTCTTCGTAAAATTAAAATTTTCTTTCACTTTGTAAAAAACTAATACTAATATATTCTAACGGCTAGCCTTTTTTGAACAAGTACCGGCTAGTCATGGTTTCCTTTCTTTTCACGAATACGCAAAGCTTGCGTGTCATTCCATTGATAGAAGAAGATCAAAACGAGTACCAGATGTGATACAACACATGACACGAACGAAGAGGCCTGAACATGATGATCGGAGCATAGAAACAAGTCATGGTTTCTGTTAAACGTTTGGCTGGCTTCGAGAGGACAGTGTCTTTAGCGCAACTTTTGGCAGGACCCTTCGTGCACGGTGCGGCGATGTGTCATCGCGCACCGGCACGGCCCGATCGACCGATCATAGCACCGGGCACGGCAAACTTTACCCTGGCGTGGAGCGACTGCTAAATCTGTTGGCACCTCTCCGCGTCTCAGCACTATGCTATGCATGCATGCCCGCCAAACGAAACACGGAAAACGAACACACGGTGCAACGTTACGTGCAATCCACCGTGTCCTTGCCATATCGAGACAACAAAGCCGGGTCACGGCCAGGGCAGGTGGCTTTGAGCTCGAGATAAGCCCGGGATAACAAAGAGCACCCTTGCATGGACCCCGGTCGGCCGGCCGACTTTGGGGCGGTAGTGCTCGATCATGCATATCACTAGCTGTCTAGCTGTGCATATCATCGCCTTTTTTGCCAATCCGATCGCGTGCTTGCTAATAAATTATTGACGCACAACAGAGACCCGACCCGGCGATTTCTAGCTTACATAGCTAGCTGAAAATGGCAAGGATTAAAAGCCAGAAACCGTGTGTCTCACTCCGATCTCACCGCTCGAGTCACCATCATCATATGTATCTTCATTATCATCGTCCCGAAAATATCCTAGGATAAAGGCGGAGACGTACGCCGGGTAACCACGCAGCCGTTGCCTGTGCGCTCCGCCGTCAGCACTGGGTATGAGGAGTAGCTTTTGCTTTGGACGAGCAGCGATCGAGGTGCAGTGCATGCGAGTGCTGGGCAACTGCTCGTTGAGCTATATTGTCGTCAGCGTTTAGCGCAGCGCCGGGCAGTCGGCCGTCGTGCGCGGGAAAGGCGCATGCGGGCCTGCCCTCTGCCCAGGTTGCATTGTGCGACCTAGCTGTGGGCGCGAAAGCAGCTCCGAGCTCGCGGTCCAGCACAGCAAAAGCGACCAAATCTTAGCGAGCATCGCACTAATATGTGTACTATCAGCATATGCTAGGCCAGGCTTACGGTTCCTTTAAGTGCAGTTTCCATCATGGCCGCAACCAATCTACTTGCTCCGTTCGTACGTGCAAGTCGGCCAAATTATCCATCCTCGACCCTATGCTTCACTTCTCCTCCACTAGCTTCACGGCCAATCGCGCGCCCACATTGACACTCAGGCTGGACACAGGACATGCATGCATGCGTACGCGCCGTAGTACAAGGTTGTCGTCGGCGCGATGCGAATGCGATGCGATTGGACGGGTCGTTGCGTTGGTTGGCTGGCTGCCTTGTGGGACGGACGACGATGAGATGCGGGAGTCGGTGGTCTGTTGGTGCAGAGGATGAGGAGATACTGCAGCCTGCGGGTGGGCTACTTGCGGCTGGTGAGTGCATGTCTGATGCGAAAGTGGCAGCAAGTTCGTGTGACCACTGTGTGTAATGGGATGCATCGATGGGTTGCTCAGAGCCAGGGCCGGCCCATAGGCCGGGGCAACGGGGCGACCGCCCTGGGCCTCTGGGAGGTAGGGGCCCCAACCCACGTAGTAGTATATTATACAGTAAGGCCCAAGCCCACCACATAGCTAGCACTCACGGGCTGAAAGAATCGATAGCTAGTTTAGCTACGCTGCTGCAACGCTCCATCGATCTCCTTCGGTCTCGTCTCCAGTTTCCTCGCCCCCTCGGCTCCTCCCCAAATTCTCCAATCCCAAAGAACAGTGCCGCCGCTCCGGTGCATTTCCAAATTCGAGGCGCCGCTCCGTGCATCCATTAATGGAGACCAATGATGCTATTCCTCTCCCCAATCATCTCTCTTTGCATCCTCAACGTTCCACATCTGATTGCAGACGCTTGAGGCATCACCGCATCAGAGATGGTACGTCTACCTCCTTCCCCTAATCAAGTACTCTTTTGATTCAGTGTTAAATAGCCCGGCACTCCGCCTCTGATTGCTCCATCTAACATCTCCAATTCTTCTCTTCCTAGTTCTTACTCTATTGGCTTGTTCTTCAAAGCTTCATTGGATCCATGCACAAAAACAAAACAAAAAAGCTTCATTGGATCCAGAGATTAGAAGGGGAGACGGGGAATGAGTGTTGTAGCCTTGCAGATCTGGGAAGCTACATCGACAATTCGACATCAAGCCATATGCCTATATTCAGGTGCTTTTCTCCTTGTATTGACTGTTTTTCTATAATTTTTTGGTGATATGTCTTCTGAAAAATGTTTATCAGTTAGAAAGAAAGTGAAAGAAAAACAGTATATTATTGCTACTTTATGCATTGCGAAAGAAAATTTGGATGAAATAAATACTGATGTGGTTGTTGACGACTTTTCTTCCAGAAGTGCTAGGAGAAATAACAAGATCTGCATGTGTTTTTTTCACCTCCCTTGCGGTTTTAGTTCAAAGTCCAGCAATCTATGCTTGTATTTACTAAATTGCTTTGGACATACAATATATTCTGAATTTTTATTTGTACACAAGGGTCCCATTTTGTCGTCCCGCCCCAGGCCCCGAATATGTATGGACCGGCCCTGCTCAGAGCAACTTGATCTGACGAACTATATATTGCCTGTAGACCATGAGTGGTGACGGTGGACGAGCGGAACGGTTTACCTAGCGCTGCCCACTAGTGACTAGTCCAGGGCATGATTGTTCAGGGAAAAGACCGAAAGTGGTGGTGAAAACGTACCTGTCGAACTGAATCTTCTTGGCATCATTTGATACTTGATAGTGCCACACAGTGTTATAGAGCAATAGCCCAAGTCGACGGAAATGACAGTCCAACTTAAGCCGGGGTTAAAAAAATTAGAAGTGGTAACGGCATCCAATCTCCCGAGTGTCCAGACTGTTTTGACTTTTGGAGCAGGAATTTATCCCCATGAATAAAATCAGCAAATCTTATTCTACCCCTAAAAAAACTTATTCTATACTAGATTTCTTCGGTGTATTCTATTTCTGGTTTCTTTTGATGCAAATCTAGTTATCAAATTGGAATCAAGAAGCAGACATCAGTAGCTAGCAACTAGCAAATGGTTTACCCACTAATATAAGCAATCACAATCTCTCCTTGAAAACAGTGCTCAATGTAATCTTTCGTTGAGGTAAGCAACACGATCGTTCCAACTGCGGTCTTCAATCTGCCCAGGAATGAGTAGACTTCACTGCATTTGGAATACCTGACTAGATTTTTGTTACGGTTATCTTTTTTTCTTTTCCAAAAGGTAGTCAGGGAAGTGCACCACAACAAACATGGTAACGATCGCGCAAGTGTGTCCACCCCCACTGGTTTGACGGGGAATGCCTTAAAAGTGCCTTGGAGGTATCAAAAGGTGCTATAAATC